CTAATATTAGCCAGCAGTAATCAGAAGAGAAAGACTGTGAAAGAACATTTCATATGTGATTATTTTCACTCATGAATAATAACGTATAGCACTTAGTGATTTGCAAAGTACTTTTCCCACAGCAGCTCTGAGAAGTGGAACAAGTTCTGTTATAACAGCTAAGGCTTGGGGGTGGTAGTGGGGGCAGTGCAAATGATGTGTAGCAATACCTCAGGTGAGCCAAAAACTTGGAGGTTCAGCAAGTCTTCTTGTATGATTGTGATGTGATGTGATGTGATGTGATGTGATGTGATGTGATGTGATGTGATGTGATGTGATGTGATGTGATGTGATGAGATGAGGAAAGTGCATTGTGAGGCTTGAAGTGCTCTGAAAATGTGAGGTCTCATTACAGTGCAGAACAGAGGTTTGGAACAGAAAGACTAGAATGATGGCGAAGGAGGAGGTAGCAGAGGTAGCTGACTGTTATGGTCCAGTTGAGGCTTTACCATGATGTAAGAAAATAAATCTGCCAAAATTTATTTGTGCTACATGAACAAGAGATGTGAGGATGGACAGATATCTCCATGGGCTTTTCCTCATCATCTGTAGTGCCAATGAAATGCTACCTTAATCTGAATTTCAATCAAAGGTGTTAAGATTGGCATCAGGAATTTCTAGGACATCTTCTTTAGGTTAAGGCTTTCAACATCAACCTGACACATTTGATCTTTGTATATCTCTTCCCATCACGCACTCTGTTGTTCCACCAAAATGGCCTTCTCACCCATGCTGCTCCGTCTTTTTTCTCTCTGCTTCTGCCCTGGCTCTGAATGCACTTCCTCCTCATCCTCTTCTCTTAGAAACCCTAGTTTTCTTCAGAGCTCAGCTCATCTTCTGCATGAAGCCTTTCCTGATCCTCCTAGTGCCTTTCCACCCAAATTCTCTTGCATTTATTATGCACATACTTAGGCAAGCAGGCATGTTGTCTCTCAGTGTAAACACTTTGAAGACGGGGCTGTTTTGTTTTTGTCTTTGTATCTGCAGTACATTGCACAGTGTGTGGTACATAACAGGAGCTTAATAAATGCTATTGTTTGCTTTATGAAGAAACAAAAGTACAGAGGAAAAAAATCTCTTATGGTTTATTTGCTGTCTTTATGAAAACATCTACCATCAATAGACCTAGGCTCTGGTAGCTTCTGAGCAGTTAGCTGATCCAGTATGTATATCAGCAGTCTGAGTTGACTTGGTTGTACCGTAACGTACAGAAAACCATCTACCTTATTTCTCCATGGCTACCACAGTGAAGCAAGGCCGTGCTTCCTACACCAGGAGATCTGGCCCCAGTGTACCTGAGAACAGGATGCTCATTGTGCTGCAGACATCCTTAGCTCCAGGGAGGAGTCAGGTCCATGCTTTTGTTCTGGAGGGGAAGAGCACTATTCAGTCTAATTCTGAGCATTTCAGTTTTGTAACATGACAAAGTCAGGCAGACTTCATTTCAAAAAGAATACATTTCATAGGAATTAAGATTTTTTAATAGTTTATAACTTTTTTCATCCAGTTCAACATTTATTAAGGGCCCTTTTACGTACAAAGCACTTTTCTACGTCCTAAAGAGACAGAAATTAAATAATCCAAATTCTCAAGTATCTTATATTCTACTGGAGGGGGTGGGAGTGGGGGAAGGATACAACATGTTAACAGGTAGATAATAGAGAATTTGAGAAGGGACTGAGCATTAATGACTAGAAAGACCAAGAAGGGCTTCTTGGAGGAAGAAGAGGAGTCTGATTTCTAATTACTGACACTTTTTGGCTAGGGGGACGGATTATCACTGTCAATGTTTAAATGGCCTGTGGGAAGCCATAATTTTTTTTTCCTAGGAAAGTATCACTAACATTTAGCAGATTGAATACACATACTATGTCAATTTTCCAAATGCTTCCAAGCTAGGATGAAATATAATCTGCATATGAATAGAAGGGAAATGTCTCCATTTATATTGTAGACTGATACTATGGTAAGTTGAAATCATTGATTTCAAAAGAGGTTCCTATGGGACTCTCTGTGAACTACTTAACAGATCAACTCTGGAAGTGTCTATAATGGGTTTGACATATATAATCTGTAAAGCATCATGTAACTATTATATAATAATCGTCAGTGTCAGGGACCTTTTGTTGAAGTTGATGATAGTATTCTGGTAATTTCCCAATGTCTCCAAATCCTTAAATACCCTTCTAAGAATCAGGGTTTTACTGTGGTTTCCTTAATGAACAATTTTTTTTCTTAATGTAAGCTAGGTTACAAGCTAGGTAACAGTTGCTAAACAAGTCATGTGATCTCCAAGACATATTCTTCAGAGTTACTATGGAAACACTGCCAAAGTAAATATACCAATTGCATATTTTCATTTCTGATTTGTGAAATTAATCACTTAAAATCAATCATAAAGATAGTGGCTTAACTGAAATAGAAAAAGAATTTTCAATAATCTTTTTTACAAGCTAGTTGCTTACCTAAAAACAGAAAGTGTAGATGCTTGCTTTATGTAGAGCTGTGTATCAAACTTTAGATTTTTGACATCTTAGTAAGTAATGATTTTGTCTTCTTTTTTAGCACACATGTTGTATGTACTGATAGGATCCTTTGTTTATAGATATATTAAGAAACTCCTAAGAATATCGAGGGAATTAATGAAAAAAAAAATGCAGAGGAAGGTGGCCTAGCAATACCAGATCTCAAACTATATTACAAAGCAGTAATCATCAAAACTATCTGGTACTGGCTTAGAAATAGAATGGTAGATCAGTGGAATAGATTAGGTACAGAAGACACAGTAGTTAGTAAATGACCATAGTAACCTGGTGTTTGATGAAACAAAGATCCCAGCCTTTGGAGTCAGAGCTCACTATCTAACAAAAACAACTGGGAAAACTGGAAAACAATACATGAACTAGGTATAGATCAACATCTCACACTGTATACCAAGATAGGGTCAAAATGGGCACGTGATTTAGACATAAAGGGTGGAACCATAAGCAAATTAGAAGAGCAGAAAATAGTTTACATGTGAGATCTATGGAAAAGGGAAGAATTCATGACCAAACAAGAGATAGTGAGCATTAACAAAATGTAAAAGAGATAATTTTGATTATATTAAGTTAAAAAGTTTTTGCACAAACAAAACCAATGCAGCCAAGGTTAGAAGGAAAGCAGAAAGCTGGGAAACAGTCTTTACAGCCAGTGTCTCCAATAAAGGCCTCATTTCTAAAATATATAGAGACCTGAGTCAAATTTATAAGAAGGCAAGCCATTCTCCAATTCATAAATGGTCAAAGGGTATGAACAGGCAGTTTTCAGATGAAGAAATCAAAGCTATCTATAGTCACATGAAGAAGTGCTCTAAATCACTTTTGATTAGAAAAATGCAAATTGAAACAACTCTGAGGTATCACCTCCCATCTATCAGATTGACTAATATGACAGACAAGGAAAATGATATATGTTGAAGAGGATGTGGAAAAATTGGGACACTAATATACTGTTGGTGGAGTTGCAAACTGATCCAACCATTCTGGAGAGCAGTTTGGAACTATGCCCAAAGGGCTATAAAACTGTGCACACCCTTTGATCCAGTAATACTGCTACTAGGTCTATATCCCAGAGATCAAAGGAAAGGGAAAAGGACTTGTTTGTACAAAAATATTTATAGCAGCTCTTTTTGTGATGGCAAAATATTAGAAACTGAGGGGAGGCGCATCAGTTAGGGAATGGCTGAACAAGTTGTGGTATATGAATGTAATGGAATACTGTTGTACAATAAGAAATATTGTTGTACAATAAAAATGATGAGCAGGAAGATTTCAGGAAAACCTGGGAAAACTTGTATGAATTGATGCAAAGTGAAATGAGTAATGCCAGGAAAACATTTATGTTGTAATAGCAACATTGTGTGATGATAACTAGGAATGACTTAGCTCTTTTCAGCAATGGTCCAAGACAGTTATAAAGGACTCATGATGGAAAATGCTATCCACATCCAGATAAAGAACTGATGGACTCAATGCAGATCAAAGCATACTTTTTTTACTTGCTTTATTTTGTGTGTGTGTGGCTTTTTTTTTTCCTTTTGGTCTGTTTCTTCTTTACAACTTCACAACTGTAACTAATATGGAAATATGTTTTATATAATTGTACATATATAACCTACATCAAATTGCTTAGCATTTTAGGAAGAGGGGAAGAAAGAGAGAGGAAGGGGGCAAAAATTTGGAACTCTAAATCTTGTAAAAATGAAGGCTAAAAATTGTCTTGACATATAATTGGGGAAAAAATTAAATACTATTAAAAATAAGATAAAGAAACTCCAACCTTCTTGGTTGCCCAGTTGTTGCCCTTCCCCAGAGTATCCACTTTTTCTATCAAATACATTTTTAAGAAGCAATAGCTCTATATGCAAAATAATAGTCAAAACTAATAATGAAAACTTGAAAATCCTAACAGATCATGAGATGTTTGGGTGATGGGTGGTATCTTTGTTAAGCCATTTGTTCATTTGTGAGAACTAGATGAAGGATACTTCCACGATTCCAATAGTTTTATTTAGAAAGCCTACTAAATGAGGTAGCTGGGTGGCTCAGTAGATAGAACACTGGACCTAGAGTCAGGAAGACCTGAGTTCAAATCTTGGTTCAGACACTAGCTGTGTAACCCTGGGCAAGACATTTAATCTCTCTTTGCCCTAATCTACTGGCAAAGGAAATGGCAAACCACTCTAGTATCTTTGCCAAGGAAACACCATGGAACAGCATTGGTGTGCCGTGGTCCATGGGGTCACACAGAGTCAGGCAGGACCAAACAACAACTAGATATACTTGGATGTGACTGAGGAAGGTCTAAGTTCACCAAGTTGGTAAAAGCATGGTGATTTTTCTCAACCCTAGCAATTTATGAAGACCAGCTACTAAGTTGTAGTGAATTAGTACATGTTTCAGAGGAAGGAACCACACTGATGAAATCATGAATCTTTAAGGAAGTGAAGTAAGAATAATGCAGTCTTGCCTAATTCCACAGTGTTTTCCAACCCACAGTTTCCCCACGTGACTGTATAATCATGCCAACCATTTCTTTTCCCAGATAGCTTTGTCAGAGTAAATGTGATAAATAGTAGCATCATTATGCTCCGTTCTTTTCCCGTGACCTTTTTCTCTGTGTACAGAACCAGGAAGACAAGCTTAAAATGCCGTCTCACTATGAACTATTATTACTGACATTTCATGGAATAGCTGAGTCAACGTTTCCATACACGGCAAACTCATGGGCCAAAATGATGGCAACCAGGAGCTCTTTCCCCAACAGTCTGAGGCCCATGTAACCATAGTTGGATCACAGTCTCCAGGATCTTGATGGCATCAAGAATGAAAGTCACGGAATTCTTACTTCCAAAATTGTTAGACATATTTATCTTGTAGATTTTTACTCTTTGGGTTTTAAACCACTCTTGCTTATCTAAAAGTAGGAGTTCGTTTTTTTTTTTTTTAGTGGCAGCATTTGTCACTATCTGCTAATCAGGTAATCTCTTATTTTGAACACAATTATTCCTAAAAAGACAAGAAGAGGGATAAATGCATATAAAATGACAAAGTTAGTTGTGAATCTCGACGTGGCACCTGGATAGCTTGTTTCAATGTACTCATTTCCATGAGTGAAGAGACAGAGTGGATTTCCTGCTGATCCATTTGAATCACCTGCCAGAGAAAAGATTGATAGCATCAGGTGTGGCACACACCAGGCTCATTCAGTCAGTAAGCGTTTATCAAATGTCACCATGCTAGGGGCTCTACTTTATCTGTCTAATTTATCAAACATTCAGAACAGTGCAGATAGCCAGGAAGTCAAGTTTCATTGGATCAGATCATGATTAAAAAAAAAAACAAAACAAAATGTATTTGGTGCCTTAGGTTCAAAGTGGAGAAGCTTGGGCTGCTTTCGTTTTGGAGTGACCAGTCATACCTCCAGTGCCTTGGATAAGAATCACAGTCAAGTAGTGCTTGAAGACATTCTAAAATCATTAATGATTTAACTGTGGATATTCAAAATAACTACTGAATACTACCCCATACAGAACTATACCACCCCAAATGTCTCTAGCAGTTGCTGCCAATAATTGTTTGACTTTGTCTTATAAAGCTTTTGCTATAAGAAAAATAATGTATACCAAATGAAATAGTCCTGAAAAAGGCGGATTGCTTCAAGTGAGGAAAGATGAAGTAGTTGGGTTGCATTTGTATCTGGGTAACATCGTAGAGACTTAGGTAGATGCTCAGTATTACCATTTGCTCTACCTCCTTTTAAAATAAGAGGGCTTGGTCCTTCCCCCTAGTTCAGGCTGCTCCTTCATATTCAAGGACCTAAGATGTGGCCTCCCCTGAGCCATTGGGTAAGGTCATGATTAACATAGGTTTTCAAAGCACGTAAACTAATAGAAATTCACAAAAGTTAGAAACTCACAGACAGATCAGAGCACACAGGGTTTCTTTTGTGGTAAACTATTGAGCTATTGAGGCACTAGGTGGTGTAGTAAATAGAGCACCAAGCCTGGAGTCATAAAGATTCATCTTCTTAAATTCAAATCTGGCCTCAGGTACTTCATAGCCACGTGATCCTGATCTAGTCATTTAACCTTGTTTGCTTCGGTTTCCTCATCTGTAAAATGAGCTGGAGAAGGAAATGGCAAACCACTCCAGTATCTTTGCCAGGAAAACCCGAAGTGGGGTCACAAAGAGTTGGACATGGCTGAAAAACAACTAACCAACAAAAATGAGCTATTCCTGATAGAATGCAAAGAAACTCCTTCAACACCTACATAACTGTCCTATTCAAATAAAGAAAATAGAAACCTGAAACAAGGATTTTGTCATGCTTATTATCTCTAAGAACCAACTGGAGTGTTTTAGGCTTGATTTCCTCCAGAAACCAGGTGGTCAGAGTTCACTACAGCCCCACCACGATACCTAAATGTTTCCAGTTTACCTGTACCTAAGGTAATAGCCCTGAAGCATCCTGGAATTTCTACTATTGGTCTTTGTCAGGGGGTAAACCAAAAGAAACACGAGGCAATTGGCAAACAAGTCTTTTATTCCTAAAAATGGTCTTAAATCTAGTTTTCATGATAGGCAATAACTTAAAACTTCTCCCACTGGTTTAACAGAATAATATACATGAACAATGTACAATGTTGTAGAAGACTTACCACAAGTGAAATTCAGTCCATAAAACTCATTGACTATTAGAATCTCAGAACCATATTTTTGAAACAAAACGTAACCCAGGATTTTTAAAGGAATGGGCATTTCATTTATGTTCCTTAAGAAATAGAAGGGGAAAAAAAGGTTAAGGTTAACAAACTGGTTATAGCCTCAACAAATGAAAAGTACATACTTAACATTGAATAAACAGATAGAAAGTCTTACTTTCATTGTATGGTACTGGTGACTATTGTTGTCCTTCATTTTCAGAGAGGACCAGTGACATCAGGGGGTGATTTTTTTTGTGTATGAATTGGATTTAAATGAGGCAGAGTTATGCAGGGTCACCAGCCTCACTCTCTTGTTATCAAAGTCCAGTGGAAGGACAAAAGTCAAGACAACTGACTATAACCCAGGATGCAGTGGATGACCTTGGTGTCTTCGATGTATACATACACACACATACATACACATATGTATATACATACATGTAGATCCCTTGGAATATATGCATCCTTTGGAAAATAATGTCTACCTGACACCTTATGTAGTATGCTGAGCTGTTCAATTGATATTTGTGGATTGTATAGATGGTGTCATTTCTATCTAATTATTTGTGCTATTCAGATGCTCCTGTTTGTAAGTAACAATGATGTTAATTGCATCAAATCATGGACCACAACAGAGCCTTTTGGATGAGTTCCATAACTACTCAAAGGAATTTAACCTAACTATCCACATAAGAAAAATAACACTCATGAAAAATGACTATTGTTCAGAAGTCAGTTATGCAGTTGGAGGAACAGCTTTACAGAACTTTTCCACCAGCATATGTATCTTGGATAACACTGAAAATGGACATTTAATTTGATTTTGGTGAATTACACAAATAAATAAATATTTTCAGGGAGGCAGTTGGGCTTAAGTGACTTATGTGCCCAGGGTCACATAGCTAGTAAGTGTCAACTGTCTGAAGTTGAATTTGAACTCAGGTCCTCTTCACTCCAGGGCTGGTACTCTATCCAATGCACTACCTAATTACCTCTCAAAAGTTATTTTTAACAACCCCAACTTGTTCCAGAAGAATATGGGACTTGTGACTAAACTTAGCTTTGGAGACTGCAAAAACTAGGCTACAAGAAGGAGAGGGAGGGCAAGTCGTGATTGAGTGAAAGTAGAGGTGGAAGTAGTGGAAGGAGCACTCTTTGAACTCAGATGGCCCGGCTGTACTACTTGCTAGTTGTGATGATGAGCAAGTCACTTCATTTTTATGGACATCAGTCTTAACACCTGTAAAATGAGAGGTTTGAACTAGATGATCGCCAAGGGCCCTTATATCTTGAAAACCTATGGGACAAGATTGTAGAGAGATTTGAATGGCAAACAAGGTCATTTGTACTTTTAAAGTGGGAAATCATTAAAGGTTCTTGGACTTTGATATTCTGATATTTCAAAGGATCTGTGATCTCTCTGATGGTGGCACACCCTTCAACCTATTCCTGCCTTCCCATTCTATATGACTTCTGTTCACATTCTCCCATAGGTACAAAAGGGGAAGGAGGCACACCTAACGTGTACCTTCCTTTAGTCCTTGTTGGATACCAAAGAACCTACAGGCCATCCATCAGTTCTCCATCACTCTTGCTTATTTGTTTGATCCATCTTTTTTTTTTTTTGACATACAGCACTCTGATGACATCTTAAAAGTAGTTGTTTAGGAAGAATAATCTGGCAGGCTATGTAGTCTATCTTATGTCGACTAGAGTCTACATAGGTAGACTCGAGTAGGAAAATACATAATAGAGACATCAGTTGGAAAGCTACTGCAGCGGTACAGGTGTTAGGTGTTAAGGGACTAAAGTAATTCCATTGGGAATGGAGAAGCAGCAGCGGATCTTGGCTCTCCAGCTAGACTTCTCTTTGAAAGCTAGGCCTTTTTATAATATTTTCTCTACATAAAATCTAGTCTTCTATATGTATTTTTTAAATCTGTTCTTGTATCTTCTTCCTAGGTAGCTAGCAGGAGTAGTGGATAGGACACTGGATCTGGAGTCAGAATTACCTGAATCTGAATCCTGCCTCAGGCACTCCCTGGCCGTGTGACCCTGGGCAAGTCACAACCTCTGTCTGCCTTGGTTTTCTGATTTTAAAATAGGGATAATAAAAGCATCTACCTTGAGGGGTTGTTGCGAGTATCAAAAAGAGGTTATCTGTGTAAAGCACTTTCCAAACCTTAATGCTCTATATAAATATTAGCTATTATTATTCTCAAACCAAGGTTGAATCCCATAATGATTACCTAACAAATTCTTGTTAATTGAGAAACAACAGAGGCAAGGATTGTTAATACTTTTGTCTTTGTATTTCTAGAACCATGCTTTACACATAGTAAGTCATAATTGAATGTTTGTTGCGCTGCTGAGAACAGTTGTCATAGCATTTGATGACTGATTAAATATAGTGAGCAAGGAAGTTCAAGATTTGTCCAGATATTTATTAAGTGGTTACTATGTACAAAACACCAGCTTATCATTGTAGGGGGAGAGGAAGGTAACTAAGAAATGGTCTCTACCCTCAAAAAATGTACACATATGCTATTAGAAATGGAAAGTCTACTCTAAAGTCATTAGACTTCTGGTTTTCTATATAAAAGGGCATGCCTTAGAATACAAGGTAGTATGTGATAATTAATAAGCAGTTATTTAGTGCCAGCATGGACTAGATTAAGCCCCAGGGATACAGAGGGGAAAAAGCATCTCCTATCTTTGAGGAGCTTACTTTCTATCAGGGGAGACAACATGTTCATGTGTAAGCATAGGCAAAATAAATACAGGATCATTGAGGATGGGGGAGAAGGCTTTAAGAACTAAGTGAATAAATAAAGGTCTCATGAAGGAAATGGTATTTGGGCTGAGCTTTGAAGGAAACTGGGAATTCTGAGCAGTGGATATGAAGAAGGAGTAAGTGCCCAGCCATGGGAGGAAATCATGTAAGACTCAAAGTGGGAATTGACAGGGAAGAAGGAAGGAAGTTTGTTTTTTTTTATTTAAAAAATTCAGTCTTTGAAGAGACTTAAGAAATCAGACTCAATAGTCTCAATATTTCTCAACAGAGAAATATCTTTGTCAAAAACAAAACCTAAGAGTGCTTCCATCATGCTAAAAACACTCATTTAAGCCCACTAACAGCAAATATTCATTAAATATGTGTATAATATCAGTCTAAAGAAAATAGCGTGAAATGTCTAGGCCACTCGTTTTTATGGCGACAGTTGTTTAATCTTCCATAAAACTACCATAAAAGTTACATTTAAAAATAAATTTGTGTCTCATGTATGTAACCAGCAAATAGGAGGGGGAAATTAATTGTTGCAATGTTTTAAAGTATTTGTTGCCTAAACATTAAGACCATAACTAAACCAATAACAGCCTCTCTTTCCCTAAGAACCCGATAATGAAAATGTCACCCAGTTGAGAACTCCTGGGAAAAGGCGATTGGTTCAGATGGTTCAAATTAAGTAAATCTGAACTTGTTTCAAATTGGCTCATTGGTTAAAATGAGAATGAGGAAGATGTTGGGTTGGGTCTATATCTGGATAATTACATGTTAGTGACTTTTATAACAAGAATGACTAAATAGTGCAATAAACATTGTCTGATAAACATTAGACAGACGCCATGAACAGTCGATATCTAAACCTGCCTTATGGCAACATTCTCTGCAGTTACCAGCAATAAATCAGTTCATTGTGAGAACATGTCTAGGTGCAACATCCAAATTTTTAGGTTACTATTGATTGTAAAAGTCATCCATTCATCAGACAAAGTTCTTACCTCAAAAATCCAGACCCAACAAGGACTCCTGCCACGGTCAGCAATGCCACCACACTGTTGACTATATTGGTGTTCTGAACCACACCAAGTAGCACAAGTGTTAGAAGTTCACCAGCTAGATGAGGGACAAAGACAGCAGCAGAAAAATACCCAAATCTGGCCATCTCGGGATGCATACCCAGAGACCTGTAAAGACAAACCCCTGCTTTTAGGCAGCTTTCTCTTTAGGGAATGTTTTGGTCAAGAAAAGGACAGCTAGGTGGCACAATGAATAGAGTGCCAGGCCTGGAATCAGGAAGACTTTTCTTCCTGAGTTCAAATCTGTCTTTAAACACTTACTAGCTGTGTGACCCTGGGCAAGTCACTTAAACCTTTTTTGCCTCAGTTTTCTCATCTGTAAAATGTGCTGGAGAAGGAAACGGCAAACCATTCCAATATCTTTGCCAAGAAAACCCCAAAGGAGGTCACAAAGAGTTGAAATGGCTGAAAAACGACCAAACAACAACAAAATTGGTCAATAATGGTGTTACATCATGCCTCCTACAGAACAGAGTCATGGTTGATGGGGAGTTGAAGGAGTCTCCAGGAAGGCAGCCCTCCAATTAAACAGGCACAGGACAGCCAACATTTCCAGTAGTTCATTCCTGTGGATTGTTTCTATTGGTGTAGGCCCAAAGGTGAGCTCACCTATTACCAGTCTGCAGTAATAATTTTCAACAGCTGGAAAGGTTATACCTAAATATGTTTCATTGCAACTTGGCTAACAGCTAGCCTATTGAAAATATGAATTTTTAGTGCTTGACTTCCTAACATCAATTATGTTTCAGGCTCTTCAAATATGATTTTCTTGGGGGGGGGGTTAGGCAGTTGGGGTTAAGTGACTTACCCAGGGTCACACAACTAGTAAGTGTCAAGTGTTTGGTCTGAGGCCGGATTTGAATTCAGGTCCTTCTGACTTCAGGGCTGGTGCTGTATCCACTACGCTACCTAGCCGCCCCTAAATGTGATATTCTTAATCACTAGCTTTCCCCTTCCTCATCCAATGGAAGTTCTCTCCAGCTTTCAGATGAACAACATAGGAGGTCTTTGGTTCCTACACTTGTGATCTTCAGGAGGCTGACTTCTTAGCATTCTCTGGGTCAGTCTCTCTCTTCCTAGGTGGAATACATGCTTGCTATCAGGTCCCGTCAAACCAATGGTTAAGTTAATTTTTGTTTTGTTTTGTTTTGTTTTTTGCAAGGCAACTGGGGTTAAATGACTTGCCCAGGGTCACACAGCTAGTAAATGTCAAGTATCTGGTCTGAGACCAGATATGAACTCAGGTCCTCCTGACTCCAGGGCCAGTGTTGTATCACTTGTGCCACCTAGCTGCCCCTTCATTTAATTAGTCAGACCAGATAGAGGCTGTTGCTGGAGGACTCCCTCTCTCCTTCAAAGGACCTCCTTTGAATCTCTCAGGTCCTCATGTGTCTAAGAATACCTTGTTTTATACAGTGGTGAGAGGGGTGGAGGGAATAAGCATTTATAAAGGACCTACTATGTACCTATGTATGGTAGTATGATCTCATTTGATCCTCACAACAGCCCTGTAAGGTAGGTGCTATTTTTGCTCTCATTTTACAGTTGGGGAAACGGAGCCTGTTTCATGGTCTAGTGAAACTTACCACAAAGACTTTGGTTTTGGCGTCCTTACCAATAAAGCACGCTGCTGAACATGGCCACACTGAGGATGCTGAAGGGAAGAACGTGCAGGATGTAGGCCAACAGCATTTGCCACTTCTGATATAAACCATCTTGGCTCTGTTGGTCACTAACGGCCCGTAAAGCAGGAACTGTGCAAGCAATGTAGTTTTCGTAAGTCAGTCACTCCAGGACTGAAGAAAGGGGACAGGCTGAAGCTGAACTGAGCTCAGGGTGCGCAAAGACTGGCAGATGAAGACCAGTTGGGAAAGATGGCACGCTAGGCAGGAGCTCACTGCAGCAAGTGCCCTTTCCCCAGCTGGGAAGAAAGGAGGTCAGGATGCATCCAAGGGGCACCCTGTTTGTCCTCAGAACCCAAAGATTAGGGGTCTCTGAATCTCACCCTGGGCAGAGCTGAGAAGCAGGATCAGAGGTGACCTCTTTTCCTGGAGTACTAGAAAGAACACACTGGCTTTGGAGTCATGAGACTGGGTGGGAATTGATGCTTATGTATCGCTTGTGTGACCTTGGGCAAGTCACTTTTCATCTGAACCTCAGTTTCCTTGTCTGTACACTGAGAATGGACTAAGGTCTCTTCCATGTCTCAAATGCTAGAATAGCACTGAATTCTTGCATTTGTCTGCATAGAATATGAATTTTAATATAAATTGGTGGTCCAAATTATTTTCTTCTAATTTGAAGTAGCAATTTCACTACCTCAATAGGAAATATATACAAACACAGTCGAAGATAAGCCCCTGGTGCTTCCCTAAAAACACAAAAGAAAAAAGGATAATGTGCCTTGGTCCCAGCCTAGATTCCAAACAGCTTATCCTCAAACCCATTAATAGAATATGGAGATCTCCATGTAGAGATGGTAGGAAACACAAGATAACCATGACATCTTGGTTTTTAGATCCTGTTTCTAGATTTGTCCCCATAAGGAGTCCACTGTAAGCCAAGGGGCTATACTTTGGTACTCCTGCAGACTCCTGTACTCCTGAATAAATCAGGTATCTGGCTGTCTACCCATATTGAAATTCTGGCTGTAGTGGCCTCAAAATAATCCTGATAAGAATGTAAAAGTATGATATGGTGCAGGCCAAGGCAGTTAATAAGTGATCATCAAGAAATGACTCTCTGAAAACATATCTTTTTTTTTTTTTGCAATTGGGGTTAAGTGACTTGCCCAGGGTCACACAGCTAGTAAATGTCAAGTGTTTGGTCGGAGGCCAGATTTGAACTCAGGTCCTCCTGACTCCAAGGCGGGTGCTCTATCCACTGCACCACCTAGCTGCCCCTGAAAACACACTTTTAAAAAGGAAATGTACAACACACTTCTAAGTTTAATTGTCATTATTAACATTTTCTCTATGTTGTCAAAATCAAGTCATAAACCAAACCATGATTTATATATAGCATTTGCTGATTCCCAAGGTGTAAGTGCTCACACCAAAGATTTAACAATCAGCTAGCCAATAGGGGCTGGCTCCAGCGTACCCTGGCCTTTGTGCGCCAAGCCATGGAACCCGAGGATAGCATCGCTTGGCGAAACAAGCAGGCTGTTTGTCTTTCGTGCCCCTTAGCTCTCCTTTCTTTACTTTTTGCTGTCAATCTCTCCTACCTCTAAGTGCTCCCCCTCCTTACTCTCATTTCAGGGCTCCCAGTGTGTCAGTGCTGTCCAAGGGCCCTTTTTATTACACCCTTTGACATAAGAAATCTGATAGGGTAATTAATTCATAATTAGGCAAAGGCGTTAGTAAGTTGTTAACACCTTTTATGTTAACATTTTAATGTTAACACATTAAATTTAAAAATTAAAATATTAAATTAAAATGTTAACATTTTAAGAATAAGGTCTAAAGAGAATAATACTAAGTTCAAAAGGAATGGTCATCATTTAGTGGTAGAGTTTTTGCACCATGGAAACTGGGTAAGGAAGATTCTTTAGGGGAAGAAAGACCTTCCTCAAATCATACCATCACATAATTCCCCACCTCTTGTCCCTCTACGTAAGGTTGGTCTTAGGGCATACTTACAGAAAGCGAGAGCATTGAGCATGCCAGTATACGGTAATCCGGCCACACATGTATAAAAAAGGCCCACTCGATCCTGGACAGCACCCTTCAGCACATCATTCCTCAGTTGAAGGATAAAAAACATCAGGGGCAAAGCCATGACCACATTCTGAATGAGTCGCACAGATACTGCCATTTTATCTCTCAGCAAGTTTCTCGTTATTTTCCTGAAAGCCCAAGTAAACTTTTTTAAATTCTTCTGCTTTAATGCTATTGAAGTACCATGTAGAAAGGCTGAGAGAAGTACAGAAGAATTTTATGCCAACAAGTTTTAAATGCCAAGATTAAAGTATTATTAGCAATTGAGTTCTAATCAAACCTGGTGGTTTCTGGTGGAGCTCTTACCTTAGGAGGATGCCCAGTTTGGTGAGGGTTCCAGGAGAATCCTTAGTTTTAAAAGGAACTGGTGGCAATGTTTGCAGATGTTTTACTCTTTTTATATTCTCCAAAGTTTGTTGATAAATTACTGAAGTCTTATAGGCAGATCCAATCAATTGCACTCTTTTGTAGGTTTCTATTTCACGTTCTTTACTTTGGGTATCTACTGATGTCAGGTCCACTGGAATTTTCCCAAGAAGAAATTAGCAACTTTAATATTTGCATGTTTCTCTAAATTAACCTTAATTCTCTAAGTTAACATAGTGAATGGTTTTTCACATCTAATCAAAACAAAGTCAGCTCCTAAATCTTATGCAAACAGGATTATTATTGTAAAATCTTAATGCTTTAGTCCTATTTGCACCATAGACATCAGCATTTCAGAAATCTTTCATTTAAAAATAGGTCCAGGTATTTCAAGTGGATATGGGTGAAAAATTAGTACTTTTGTGAAGATAAGTGGATTTTCATGTGGAGTCACCATAAGTGCTGTAGTTGGATTATAAACTCATAAAATATTAGTTTGAAGGGACTTTGTAGATTGGTCATCTAATCTAAATGACATTTTATACAGAGGAAGTTATGGCCAGAAAATGATGATTTGACTTGATTTGTCCAAGGTTCCATATGAAGTCACTGCAAGACTTGGGACCAGATCCCAAGTCATAGAATCCTGAGAACTGGAGCTCTAAGGAACATCTAGTCCAGTTGCCTGATTTTTCACATGAAGGTCACAAAGGCAGTAATTAGAGGAGCAAGGATTTGAACCCAAGGTCCTCTAACTTTTAGATCCAATGCACTTTCCACTACACTCCACTTTAGAAGTCCCTCAAGGTCCTATTGTTTGACTTCCAAGCCAGTCATCTTTCCACTCCAACATGGTACATTCTTGCACAGCTAAAAAACTATACAGCTCAGATACCATACAAAGCTAGTCCTTTGTCAAGTACAAAGGCCAACTGACATAGGAGTGAGGCTGCCATTTGGCTAGTGGATTTGGATCAATATGTTTATGAGCAACAGGAATAATGAGGCATCATTGTTCCTAAAAGACAAACTCTCTTCATTACATTTTGTTACACAGTGAAGACAAATAAGACTAAGAAAGTCCTGTTCTCCACTCTCTGACCTTAAGAACTTCCTCTAGTTTGTGGAAGCTTTACTTTTCTCCACTTAAAATGAGGGCTTGGTAGAGACAGATCTCGAAGATATCGTTAGTCAGATTACCTCTCCATAGCTATCATGGTCAAATGGATGTTACTGAGCTATTCCCTTGAACGGCAGGGTAGAGAGCCAAAGAAGACGTGGGCGTCATTTTAGCAGATCATGATGCTTTCAGTTACAAGGATTTGTTATGGGGTGGCAAAAAAGAGAAACTTACTATAAAAGTCAAATGGATTTGAGTGTTCAGGACAAGGATAGTTGCAGTCAGTGAAGAAGTCAATCATTTCCACAGGCGTCCCACAGAAAACCAACTCTCCACAGCTCATAAGGGCAATTTTATCAAACAGCTGGTTGGACAATAGACTGGGTTAGTGTCTAATTATGCTAAGATGTCGATAACAAAAATAAGTTATGAGAGAGTCCCTTACAGATTCTATCCATGAAGTATCTTCCTTTACAGTTTTGGCTGCCACTACTAACAGTGTTTGCTCTTAATTTTTCTGACTTCATAGCAACAGTGGGATTGGTCAGGAGCTATTATGGGGAGGGACAATTTGTGTAGCAGAAGCCAAGTTCTTGCATGTGACCCTGCCGTCTCATATGGAGACCAGTGAAGCAACTGTCTGGGGTTGGGTTGTAGGTAGGGAGCAGACCTTGCAATGTCCACATCTCAAGCAGCAATAGAGCTGTTATTCTCCCCCCAGTGGCCAACAGAGAGATGAGGTCACTAACCTGGAACAGCTCTGAGCGGGGCTGATGGATGGTGAGGATAACGATCCGGTTTCGATGGGCCAGTGTAGAGAGCAATACCACAATCTGATTTGCTGTCATGCAGTCCAGCCCTGTGGTTGGCTCATCAAACAGCATCACTTCTGTAGGCAGAAAGAGACCAGAACGTGGACTACAGTGATATTTCAGAGTCAAGGACTAAGTCTTGGGATGGTGTGATGGAGAAGTTTGAACTTTCTCATTGAACGTGTCTTGACCCACTTGAAGAAATAAATCAGACAAAAGTCCAAATGAAGAGAATAAAAACCAACTTCTACTGTTGGTCCAAGAGATAGATCATCCTGAAAATGACCCCACTTCCTTTTGGGACTTTAGTCATAGAATATTCTCCATAGAGGGGACTTTGTAAACTGAAAAATGCTAAACAAATAGGAGTACTGTTTTTTTAAGGGGTGGGGGAGGCAGGGCTAGAGAGAGCAGTGTGAAAAATACACTTTTTAGTAGTCACCTGTCCAGGTGATTTGGAACCAGGAGTAGTGCATAGTAAGCCATAGAACTACCTTCATAACAAAGGGCAAGTCACTTAAGCATTCTGGACCTTAAAAAATGATTGGACTACATATCCTCTTCCATTCCAGCTTTAGGTCTATAAACCTATGATTAGAAAAGTTGATTTTGAAGAGCTGAGAGGCAAGAGACTGGTTTTTCTTTAAAATAGCAAAATTTTAACCTTCACCTGCTTTCTAAAACCTGCATGCATTTTTAATGAAGACTAGAATTGCATATCAGGACAATTTTATCTGCTCATAGGCCTGAGATACAGCAGAATTAAATAAGCATGTCAGTCTGATTCTTTGGAGTCTTTCATTTTTTTTCCAAATGAAGAAAACTCACTGTGTTTTTCTTACTCTTTCCTTCTAATAAATAAGGACCAGTTGAAGAACCAAAAGTCTTACTATTGCTTGAATAGATGGGAATTGTAGAGATGAGTTTTCTTTGCCAACAAGAAAGGGTGGTTGCTAACTGGTTCCCCTAGTACTCATCAAAATAACAAATGGCGTCATCATAGGCAAGGGAGATTATGCATACCTTAATCCCTTGCCACAAAAGGTCACTTCCACACCAAAGCTCATTGAGTTTCCTCCCCAAAAAACTTGGCACAGCTGGGAGAGTTGGGGGTAAGATAAGAATGAGAATAATAAATCCCTGTGCATCTGGGACATGCAAAACTTGGGCTTCTTTTAATCTATTACCTTCCAATTGAACAGTAAAATATAACCCTCAAGGTCCAAAGCTCTCTATTACAATACGTATTTTAAATTGGAGTTAGAGAAATCATCAGTAATTCAAAATAAGTGCCACGGTATTTGGAAAATAATTGGGTTTCCAGTTTGGAGAATCCCAACTAATTAAATTTTATAAATACACATACCCCAACAGGAGCCTTATAGATGGACTGGTGGTAACTAGATGTACCATGAGAGACCTTCCAGGAACTGCTTTTGGATAGATCTTGATGAATACTCACTAGGATCCTGGAGGAGCTGGGCTGCAATGGAGATGAGGCGCCTTTCACCACTCGAAATTCTCCCAGAGGCTCGTTTCCCAATCAGCTTGTTAGCCAGATGGCTGAGGCTCATTTCCGCCATTACTGCCTCCACCTGCAGGAGACACAAAGCCTAGGCCGGACTAGAGCATCACTTGTTCCATTTATGAAATTTAGTCCTTCTCAGGTAATGGAAACACTGACCCTGGCTGGTGGACAGAGTAAATTTTTAAAAAAAATTTTTTTTTTTGGACAGAGTAAATTGTAAATGGCCCAAAAGATTCAACACACTACCCTGTGGGAGTCAGGAAATCAGTAGCATTGTAATAGAAGTCAAATCAATTTGAAATGGGTTCTTTCCTGCCGTCACAGAGAAGGACCCTAGAACCAGCTCACATTGTTTCTTGGCCTTGGTTATGAGATGCCAACTTCATGCAAATTTCTTTGCATCCTTTGAGCCTGCTACAAAGTTCCAAGGAACAATTCTCCTTGCAGAGAAAGAGTCATGATAGATGAGCTAGCCCTCCAAATGGATATGAGATTAAGGTCAGAGTTGACAGTATGAACTAAAGCAGGTAGAGGACCAGAGTTGAAACTCTGAGATGGCTTTTGCATTCTGTTTAGACATTATGAGTCTTTAAAATAGAGCAGGTGAAGTAGGGATACATGGGTATGTGTACAGAGGAAGGGAAAGAATGCAAATGCTTCTATGGGTTGTTGAAACCTCTAATCCATCACCTCCCTGTTATACCTTGACCTACCCTGCTGCTCTTTGAGAGAGATGAAGCTGCAGATTTCTCTGAGGCTGGGTCACTTGAGCATCACTGGGAAAGGAGCTCTTCAACCATGAGCCTGTAAGAGCTACTTACCCTATTTTGGAAGAAGTCTTTGGAGCCCTCACGAATGGCCAATTTTGCAGTATAAGACAGTGTCTCTTGTACTGTGAGGTTACTCAACAAAGTTTCATTCTATAGCAGTGGCAGGAAAGAGGAGTTAATGAACAAATGAATGATAAAAAGCATTTATTAAGCACTTACTACGTGGCAAGTACTATACTGAGCACTGAAGATATAAAACAAACCAGACAATTCCTGCCATCCAGGACTTCCTCCCTAATTCCCACTCAAATCAGTAGATCTCCAGAGGATGGCTGACTACTACTTTCAGGATTCTAGGACCCTAAGGAGCTAGGTTTCAAATACTGTCCCTCATGAGCCCCCAGTAGTGTCCTTCCCCTAATAATCAGCCATAGTTAGCTTTTTAGCAAAGGTATTTTCTAAGATGGTACATTAAGAATAACTACAAAAATATTAGAACTTAAGCTGTTAAAAGAGAAAGATATCAGATTTTCAGGGTTCTGCTTCAGCCCTGACTACTATACTTTGTGGGTTTGAGATCAGAAAAGGCAGAAACCCTACCTGCAGGACATAGGAGAAGCAATCTTGAAATTCCTCTCTTTCCAACCGCTGCCCATTCACACACACTTCTCCGAGGAAGGTACCTTTGCGTCTTAATCTGCCAGATATGGCATCTAGCAAAGTCGTTTTTCCAGAACCTGTGAAGGTAGAAGAAACATCTTCATCCACCTACTTTCTGGGAATTTGCATTTGTTGTTTGCTGTAAGAATGCATGGCCTACCAAGATGAACCAAAAACAAACAAAAAACAAAAACCTTTTTCATTCCATCCAAGACAACACCCAGACCCTTGCCTGCTATAATGATGCTTCAGCTGCAATGGCCGATGATCCCATCTTGACTTCTGTTGCTGACTCATGTATCAAACAAAACTAAAGGCATAGCCCACTGTCTTTTACCAGGATACAAACTATGGTATGAATAAGGATATGCTGCTAGTGCTTTTTAAAGTGTTTGTTCTTAATTAAGTCTGGGATCTGACACTAGTTGTGTGATACTGACAAAATTACCTCACCTTTCTATGCCTCAGTTTTCTGATTTGGAACATTTTTTGGGATAAATTGGAGATAATTTTATTTGTACTATCTACCTCATAGGGCTATTGTGAGAACAAATTAGACACCTTAAATTGATGTATGATATAAGTAGTAGTAATTGTTTATTGGTTACTTTCGTCTGGTTATTGGTTTATGGGAGAGGGATTAGTAAGAGGATGCATATTGCAATGGACAGTGCTGGATCTAGACTGAGGGAAGACAGGGGTTCAAATCCTGCTGTGTGACCAAGGGCAAGTCACTTGATATATCTGAGCCTCAGTCAACTCACCAAGATGCTTCTATTAAGTTTTAAACTATCAGGCTGATGGGGCACTAAAATTTCTGCCTTTGGGCTTGTCTGAGCCAGTGGCAAAATGTGGGACATTAACTTGTGAGCAATTTGAAACAGAAATTTTGTTCTGTCTACAAGCCTACAAGCCTGCACTTAATGCTGCAAATTTTACATGACCGGAAATAATAAGAGATACTGACTGTTGCTAAGAGGACTATTACTACAAACTTGCCTGAAGTTTATTTGTGGTGAGAAAGTATTTTTTCTTTGTTTTCTCTGGGTCTTGTCTGTGGGGTTGGGGGAGGGGTGGGGAGGTATGTCTAGGATAATCTCTTCCATTTGGGCTGTAAGTCCAAAAGGGCTACTGCTAACCATCAGTGAGCTCAAAAATGTAGAAGAGAAAATGTGAGAGGAGAATCTCAGGTGTTTCCTGATGCCCTGGAAACAAGGGAATAGATATCATTCAACGTGTACTTACTGAGTACCTACTTTTAAAATTATTATCATTTTAAACTTAAATACAAAATGCAAATATTCACAGCCATATAAAAAAATGCTCCAGATCACTAATAATAAGAGACGTGCATACCAAAAACAACCCTGACGTTTTATCTCACACCTTGGAAATGGGCAAAAATGTCAAAAAATAGCGATGGTCAATATTGAAGGGGTTGTAGAAGAGTAAGCACAGTAATACGTTGTTGGTGGAACTGTGAAATTGTACAATCATTTTGGAAATCAATTTGGAATTATGCAAATAAAATGACAAAAAGGTCCATACTCTTTGAACCAGATACTCCATGACTAGACTCATACCCCAGGAAAGCCACTGATAAGGGGGGGAAATCTATTTATAGTGAAAAATTGGAAACAAAGTAGATGTCCATTGATTGGGGAATGGCCAAATAAAGTGTGGTATATATGATGTCTGTGATATGTATAGAGAAACATGGAAAGATTGATATGAACTGATGCAGAATGAAGTCAGCAGAGCTAAGAAAGCAGTATATACAGGGACTACAACAATGTAAATGGAAAGAACTACCACCAAAAAATCAAAAGCAGACATAATAAAATTATAAAGATCAAACAGGACCCAAATGAAGAGGATGAGAAGATACTCCTAAATTACCCCTTCGTGGAGGTGGGAAGTCCACAGGTGTTACACACTGCACATCCAGACTTTTTCAATGTATCGATCAATTGTGCTAACTTTTTTCCCTTTCTTAAAAAAAATAGTATTGGTCATGTGAGATAGCTCTGTAAGGGGGAGGGGGAGAAGGGGAAGGATACTTGGGATAAGTATAGTGATATGAGAAACAAAAAATATCAATAAAAACTAAAACCAAACCAAAACAAAAAACTTGTGGGATGCTCCTTCCACCTATGCTGATTGCAGCTCCTCTTCTCCTTAGTAGATGGTCTTTGTGAGTTGCTGTGAGGAAAAAAAAAATCTACATCTTGTAACTCACCTGGTATTTAGTCTTTTCCAACCTCACTAGACTGAACATTGGAAAGAGCTCAGGAATCAGAAAAGAACCCGCAAACTTGGGGCAGCTAGGTGGCACAGTGGATAGAGCACCAGCCATGGAGTCAGGAAGACCTGAGTTCAATTCTGGCCTCAGACACTTGACACTTACTAGCTGTGTGACCCCGGGCAAGTCACTTAACCCCACTGCCTAGCAAAATACAAAAACAAACAAACAAAAAAACCTGCAATCCCTCAGCGTTGTCATTTGAGCTACTTATGGAAGTTAAGAGCCCCTTTGCCTTGCCATCCACACCACTGCTTCCCTCTTTGGACTTCTGAAGCTTTCCAGCCATTCCACAGCTAAATTTTATTTTAAATGTCATCTTCCCCAATTGGAATATGAGGTCCTTGACATCCAGGACTGTAGTAAATTATTTGTATTCCCAGTACTTAGCACAGTGCTTTGTACATAGTGAGAGCTTAATAAATGCCTTTTTCATTCATTTATCCATTAATTAGAGTGATTAGTTCATGCTAAGAGTACCAAAGATAGTCATTTTCAAATAACACGCATGAATATATGTAATATACTCCTATAATATGGACATACATAATGTATTCCTGTAACATTCCTGTAATAAATACATACATACTACAGATACATTATATGCATTATACATATATACATGTATATGTATGTACATCATAGGAGAGTAGCCCATGGGTTTCTTAGAGGTCCCCAATGGGCCGCTGGTGGTCCAGAGACCACCTTTCTCTGAAGATTTATGCGAGCCAATTCAGATTAAAGTAAGCAAAACCAAGAAAACAATCTATAAAATGACTAATAATGAAAACATTGAAATGTATTTCCGATTGATGCCTTGGGCAATCTTGACTTCAGAAGACTGGTGGAGAAGGAAAGAAGCAGCCTCCCTCCTCTCTGCCTGCAGCAGATGAAATACTGGCAAAACATCATCAACAACAACAAAAGAAATATTGGTGGAGAATGTCAGATATAGCCAATGTGTTGGTTTGTTTTGCTCACTATCTCTTCGTTATGAGGGAGGGTTCAGTGGGAGATGGGGGTCATTAGGTAGTAACAAAGATATAAATAAAAATAAGCAGCAATCAAATATTCTTAAGAATGAAAGAAAAAAGGGCTGTGCTTATGTGGTTCTCTAATCCATGCCCCTCCCCCCAGCCCCATCCCTAGGTAATACTGTAGTTAAATCATTTCAAAAGATAGCAATAGAGGACTTCTGGGAGCCGAGATGGCAGAGCAAGTAGTAAATTGCTGTAGCTCTGCCTGATTTACCTCCAAACACCCATAAAATAGTGCCCCAGAACAAATCCTGGAAAGTGGAGCCAGTGGAAAGATAGGGTGGAGTGGTCTTTTAGCCCAGGAGACTTGGATGAATGGCAAGAAAAGTCTGTCTCACTCTGGTAAGAGGGGAGTGAAGTCCAGGACAACAAGCATTCCAGCAAAGTAGCAGCAAGCCCCATCTCAGCAAATCAGCAGGAGATCCTGAGCCCCAGTGTAGTGGAGCAGCCAAACACCAACAACAGGCCTGTCCACATGCCTTAGCATAGCCAGGGGAGCTGGCAGACCCCAGCTCAGAGAACCATCCCATGCTTCAGCAGAGCCTCAGGCAAATAGGCATCTTCGGGTGGCTGGGCATGGCTCTGGGCAGGTAGGCAGCCTCCAGTGTCCAGACCTCCATGTGCTTCAGCACAGCCCAGGGCAAACAGGCACCTTCCAGTGGCCAGACCTCCACAGGATTCAGTGTAGCCCCAGAGAAACACAGAAATATCCCACTGGGCCTCAGCACATGCCAGATACCACCACTAGGACTCCAGTTCAGCACCACGTAAGCTGCCAGACCCATATGGCCTCCAGCATCACCGGTAACCCCACCACCACCACATCTCCTTAACACAGCATCAGACAGGAGGGTCCTCTGTGGGCCTCAGGGCAACATCAGCACAGGTAAACAGCCAGGACCTGTAGCCATTGGCACAAGAAGCCTGAGACAGAGTGCCTTCCACCCTTGGAAGAGAGATCAAATTTAAAAGAAAGGAAAAAAGCCCCCCTCCAAAAAAAAGATGAACAAAAAACAACAATAACAAATCCGACCGTAGAAAAGGTATTATGGTGACAGAGAAGACCAAGTCACTAACTCAGGAGAGAACAACAATAGCAAAACATTTACAGGCAAAATCTCAAAGAAAAATGGGAAGTGTTTTCAAGCCCAGAAAGAACTTGTGGAAGATCTCAAAAAGGAGCTTAAAAATCATTTAAGAGAGGTAGAAGAAAAATTGGGAAAATAAATGAGAGTGATGCAACAGAATTATGAAAAAAGAGTTAACAACTTGGAAAACTGTTTAAAAAGTAAAACCTGCCAAATGGAAAAGGAGATACAAAAATCCACTGAAGAAAACGGTTCCTCAAAGAGTAATTGGCCAAATGGAAAAGAAAGTACAAAAGCTAATGGAGGAAAACAATACCTTAAAAATTAGAATTGGGCAAGTGGAAGCTAATGACTCTATGAGACATCAAGAATTGATCAAACAAAGGGCAGCTAGTGGCACAGTGGATAGAGCACCAGCCCTGAAGTCAGGAGGACCTGAGTTCAAATCCAGCCTCAGACCAAACATTTGGCACTTACTAGCTGTGTGACCCTGGGCAAGTCACTTAACCCCAATTGCCTAAAAAGACAAAAAAATAAAGAATTGATCAAACAAAATCAAAAGAATGAAAAAATGGAAGAAAATGCAAAATACCTTATTGGAAAAAACAACTAACCTGGAAAATAGATCTGGGAGAGACAATATCAGAATC